AGTTTCCGGAGGAGCATACAGCAGATTTTCCAGAGCCGCGAGGGCCCAGAAGCAAGATGGAATTGTTGCAGCCCTCCGTGATAGATGTCGACACAATGAACTTGAGCTTGCTAAAGAGACGAATGAATTGTTAGGGTAAGAGCAAAGGATTCGTGAGGAGAAACAAAGGACAAAATCAAAACCTGTAGTTGCTGTCCGACGAAGCGGAAAGAGGTCTGAAGACGAAAGAAGGATCGCAGAGCCTCCGGCGAATCAGATTTAGGGATTTCTCCGCCGCCGTGCCCATCGGAACAAAACTGGCGGGAAAAATGACAAATGCTGCCGCTCTGTGAACCATATAGAGTTTATGGGCCTTAATGAATGGGCCTTCTCACATTTACAGTAAACGAGGTCGTTTTGCTCTGTGCTAAGTTTGTGACTGAACAGAGGATTGGGTTTTGTAAATTTCATGAAACTCGACCGGAACCAATCGTTCCTTCTCTCAAGCGATGGGCAGCACAAGCACGAGTTCTGCTCTAATCCACCATTTCCGCCTCACCACTCGCAACACTGCTTCGCTTAGAAACCGTCCCTGCGCTGTCAATTTCTGCAATTCGTGGACGAAAGCTGGACTCCGATACGGTGTGACGCGAAAAGACTTGGCCCGGGTGGTTCGCTTGTCAGCTCTTGATGATAACTCTGAAGATTCACCAACGGAGACTACCCCCGGCGTTGGCTCTGCTGTGGAAGACAGACCAGGTATTATTAATCGAAACGCCGGTTTCTTGATTGTGTTATATGTTGGTCTCAAGTTTTAAGCTTCCCGGATTTGATATAGTTAGTGGTGGATTACACAGATGAGTCCTTTGAGCAAGAAGATAGATCAAGTTCGGTCTATGAGTTTCTCTATCCCCGTAAAGAGGAGCTCCCTGATGACAAAGAGATGACTATATTCGATCATCTCGAGGAGCTCCGCGAGAGAATCTTCGTCTCCGTTTTGGCTGTGGGAGCTGCAATCTTGGGATGCTTCGCCTTCTCCAAAGATCTAATCGTGTTTCTTGAAGCTCCTGTCAAAACCCAGGGTGTGCGCTTTCTGCAGCTAGCTCCTGGCGAATTTTTCTTCACAACTTTAAAGGTCGGAGCCACTTGGACTAGCTAAATGATCAGACCTTACTCAAATGTACACGAAAGATGATTTCTTGTTTTGTTTTGCTTTGCTCATGTGCAGGTCTCGGGTTATTGTGGGCTTCTACTAGGGAGCCCAGTGATCCTGTATGAGATTATAGCTTTTGTTCTTCCTGGTCTTACACGAGCTGAGAGAAGGTTTCTGGGGCCAATTGTGTTTGGTTCCTCCTTGCTCTTCTACGCTGGACTTGCCTTCTCCTACTGGGTTCTAACCCCTGCAGCCTTGAATTTCTTTGTGAATTACGCAGAAGGGGTGGTAGAATCCCTGTGGTCTATCGACCAGTACTTTGAGTTTGTACTAGTTCTTATGTTCAGCACGGGCCTGTCTTTCCAGGTATGTGGCAATGATATCATATACATGTTCTAACACATTGATTTCGCCATCTTCACCTACAATTTGGCTACTTGTTCTTGGTTCACAGGTTCCAGTCATTCAGTTACTCCTGGGACAAGTAGGGGTGGTGTCGGGAGATCAAATGCTATCAATTTGGAGATATGTGGTGGTGGGTGCGGTGGTTGCAGCAGCTGTTGTCACGCCCTCGACAGACCCTGTTACTCAAATGCTCCTAGCAACGCCGCTTCTGGGGCTTTACTTGGGTGGTGCATGGATGGTCAAGCTCACAGGTCGGTGAGGAACTTGGTTGTTCAAAGGCAAATAAATCATGTATCTTGTAGAGTAATATCAATCTCTATGCAAGAGACCACAGTTTGGTACCCTAAGTGTGTATCTGAATATTCATCTTCTTGGAATGTACAAATTTAGCAACCAAAATGAGCACAAAGGTTGAGGGGAGGGGATTATTGCCGATTATAAGCTGCAGAAGGTATATGTAATTCCCTATCTGCTACAACAATGAAACACACAAGTGAGTCCTTATCAAGTTATTAACGCTTTCAATCGCAAGAGATAAGACCTAGAACACACAATTCCGATAGCTACAAGATAAGATGAAGACGTGCAGAGGGATTGTTGATTGAAATGGCCAACTATCATCAACATTGAGATGAACTTGACTGGAGAGAACAATTTGAGTAAGACCGGCTTAAGTAATTGCTTTAGACAGCCATATAAGCTATCATAAACATTCAGACTTCTCAAAGTATGATTACTTCTCTCACGACGCTGCATTGACTGATGTAAAATGAACAAAGAATAAACAGAAATGCCACAAATGTAATTCAACATAATATTCAGTGTCTTTTGGATCAATATCTTGATAGGAGTCGTTGTGCTAATGGTTTTCATTACCACAACATTCAGTTCTGAGGATAGTATGAATTAAACAAATGCGATTGCAAAAGCCCATTTCAATTTTCACTTGTCTATGCTGTGCTCTCTTTTCTCATCTGATATCCATCTTCCATCAGGCTCGGATGCTGACTCTCTGTCATTTTTATGATGACTTCTTTTCATTGCTCCATCGTCTTCACTTGTAGACTCAGCCCGATGATGCCTTTTATGCTGCCTCCTCTTTCTACTTTTCACGCTATCCTCCATGTCACTGGAGGAGGCTGAACCTCTGTTGTGCCTGTGATATTTCCCCCGTCTTCTTCTTCCACCCTCTTCTTCACTATCACTCGAAGTGACCACCTCACTGCGCCTATGATGCTTCAAATGTTGTCTTCTTCTCACATCTTCAGTATTGTCATCATCACAGGTCTGTCTTGAGCTATGCCACTTGTGCCTCCGGTGGTGCCTTATCTTTGTCCTGAGCTCATCCTCTGACCCGCTTCCATACTCATGACTGCTATCATCGCTTGGACTTGAGGAGGACCTTCTCTTCTGCCTCCTCGATTTCTTCTCTCTCCTCTTATCACTGTCATCTGAATCAGAGTGTGCATGTCGTCGGTGGTGCTTACTGTGGAATCCCCTTGACTTTCTTCTCACCCCAGAGCTAATATCACTTTCAGAGCTAGAGTCAGACGCACCCTTTTGTTTTCGCTTAGCACCCTTTGACTTCTTTTCTTTGGTTTCTGTATCAACTCTAGCATTGGCAGCCGCCTCAAGCTTCTGCTCCCATTTCAAAGGAGCTTCTCTCTTCTCTAGGACCCTTCTCTTCTTCTCCTCCACCATCTGGATAAACTTCTTGCAGTCCATTTGGATTGAAAAAGCAGCTGAAAATCTGCATTTTGGTATGAAAATAACCAAAAGTGCATCTCACAAAAGAGAAGAAAAAACAATATTAGCATTTCCATCAACAGTTAATGAGGCTAGGAGCCAATCAAGCAACAGAAAATATTGAGGACTTAAAGCTCAATCCAGCCAAAGCACAGAGACTAAAACTATGGTGTTGGTAAGAGAACTCCTATAGAACGAATGAAAAAAAAGACATTCGGCAGAATTCCAGTTGCTATTAGGGTTTGGTATTCCAACTTAATCAATGCAAACACCAAGGGAGCTAGCTAAGCTTTGAAACTAATACGATGAGTATCGCTAAATCTGAACCAAAATTCTTACCTGATGCGAGTGAGAGGTTAGATTAGCCCGAGGGGAGAGAGAGGCAAGCCGAGGGCGAAGATAAACACGAACGATAACGAATCTGCAAAAGAGGGGACAAGTCAAGTTTACGAGCGGTATCACTGCAAACAACGGAGAAGCTAAACATCAAAAAATCCTAAGCTAACCTCAAGCACTTAAACAAAGAGAAGCAATCTATAGAGAAAAGAAGAGAGCCGAAACAATCGGATCGGAGAGAACCCGATACAAGTCAAAACAGACGGCGTAAGGGAGAAATCGGAACGCAGATCTAGAAGATCGATGATCCCTAAGGTTTGATCTTTCGAATAAACATGGAGATCTGAAATCTGAGAGAGCTTTACCAAAAGGAAAGGAGAGGAGAAGGAGAAGACAAACGCCTAGGGCTTCGCTTTTTACTGAAACACTTTCAAAGGGGTCGTCTCGAATTAATTAATATCCTCTGCTCTATATATAATTACATAACCTGCCATTGCGTGCCGTTTATGTATAAAACACAAGCACATTGTGCCGTTCTGTTTCTGGGTTTGATCATTTTTAAAAATGTTGAGACATACTTCCTAAACACTAGAGGTGCTTTCGTTCCAACAGTTGAAGAAAAAAGACCTCCAGAAGATAATTAAATAGCATTGGATTCTTGTCTTATTATGCATTGTGAAGTATCACAAACTCGTAAAGGTTTCCCCAACCACACAAACAAAGAATTCACAGTAAACAAAACCGACAAGGATGCAGTAATGTCTAGCATCCACTGCATTTTATACAAGACTGGGAGAAAAAGGAAGAAATACAAGACACAGATTCATCGGACGGAAAATTCTCACTCGTCAGTTTAGTTTTGCAAGGAGCTTAGGTCCAACCTGCAGATCAAGAATATAATTCTCATCTTAGAATTGAAACTTGAGGTGTATAAGGCAAACCACCACTCAAACACACGTACACATTTGTCAACACAGTGCCAGTAATCAAAATATTGGCCAGTGCAATGTTTGTGGCCTGACTCATCATCTTGGATCCTCTTGACACACGCCTGAACCACAGCAAATAGATGTTATATAGTTCCCCATGCCATGTGATGTCAAAAGTATTGCACACTCACATATCACTAACGACAGGTCAAGTTGTATGCTAATCACCTGATAATCAAGTAGTGGCTTCACACATTTTGGTTTGCAGGATTGCTCAAGGTACTTTTTCTGATCAACAGCTTCCTCATCTGCCCTGTAATTATCCCAAGTACAACATCAGAAGCAAACTCTGGAGATAACTGTCACAGGTCAAAGTAAGGATGTTTAAAGCTCGAGTTCCCATTTTACTACAATACACCTCTCATAAACAGCTTTTAAAACGCCTGCATAATACTATGCAAATCAAGAAAACGGAGAGAGCTACTAGGTAGGTAAATGTCAAGCTTCCCCATATGAAAGGGATACAAGTTACTACGACGAAGAATTCCTGGACCCATCAGGACGGAGTATAAATAATCTTATGGGATAATCAAAGGGGATAACTCAAGTATAGCTGATTAGAGAGCAGGAGTAATATACTGTAAGGGTAATCTGAGAGAGAAGGAAAGAAAGGATCGCACTGGAAATCTGAGAGGAAAAATGATCAGCACACAATATCAGTAATGGTCGATCTATCAGGAGATGAGAAAAGTCGAATTGAGATTACCTGATGGATAGGCAAGCGAATGTTTCGATTCGATTTCTTCATCGTCGTCTTCTTCTAAATAATATGGGCCTCTACCAAATTGATTTTTGATAAGCCCATTAATGTTAGACATCCTCAAGCCCAAACAATAAAAAGCATTTCGGTGGGAGTTTATATCATTCTGTAACTGAATCGTAACTGCTTCATCTTTCGCTGCAACAACAATGGCGATCGATTCTTCACTTTGTCTCACCGTCTTCATTGTCGTCGCTCTCTTGCTCCCTTTTTCCTTCCCATCGGAGGAGCTTGAAAGTGCCATCTCCGTCCTCCGTCCTCTGTTTTTCTCGACGGCGTTCAACTTCTCCTCCCTGGTCTTTTCTATGGCCCACATATCGCCGTCCGCTGATATTCTCCCACTCACATCCTCTGCTTCTGAGTCTGAACTCGAGAACCGCACCGTCGCTTTGCCTCCAATGGTTGATTCGCCGTCGCCAGAGGATTTCTTGTCACCGTCGCCAGAGGATTGCACAACATTTTTGGCCGTACTACACCAGCAGAGCCACCGATGATTGAAGAGGTTTCAGTCTCCCCACCGCCTTTGGAAGAAGATCTGCTCGTAGGCGAACGGGATTACAGGACTACCGAATTCTAATGCACCATTTCTTTTCTTTGTGAAAACATCAAAATGTAAAAAAACTTGGCAATTGTTGATCTCCTTTCAATGCCTGTGACTGATCATGTACTAGTTGTTTTGTTTTGGGTTCAATTTTGCAAAGTTTGGGTACATATTTCTGATAATAATACCAATTCGGTTCCCTTTACCTGAAATACGGGTTTCTTGGGTAAGCTGAAGAGAGGCCATCATTAGAAGAGAGAAAAAATGGAGGTGGAACCTCAGAGTTGAGACTTGAGAGTATGAAAGGGGACTTGATTGAGATTGCTACGAATGCTTGGGAGCATAAAGATAGGGAACAAAACACCCTTTCTAGCTAGGAATCACTCTCACAAGCTTGCCATGGATTGCAACCAAGATCTCAGGAGGTTGCCAATTGCTGATGGGATCAAGAAAAACTCTGTGGAGAGTATAAAAAGTAAAGAAGAAGAATAGTCTCGGGTCACATCAGTTGCAGGTTGACCAAGTAAGTATTCCGAATCAGGTTTTCCATATCGGATATTGTTGTATAGCATCAAATGAATGACAGACCGTAAGCTTTCACATTGTTAGCGAACGAAGGAGATCAATAAAAGGTACATGGAGCCAGTTCACTTCAGCTTGAAGAAATATTAAGTTTGTTAGTGAAGAATGAAACTCAAATGTTGGTACTTGGCAGAGAGTGCGCAAAAGGAGACTCTCAAGTTTAGAGGTAAGGTATATATAGCTCTCCATGGCTGCACCTTAGCAAGCCCTCTTACTCTCAAATAAATAACGGTTGTAGCACGTGGATGAGTGCTACATCTCTATACGACACAGTAGCAACGCTTAGTGGCCAATAGATTCAACTGATTAGTATCTTTCGTAAACAACATTGTTGCTCTATTATAATTTGCTTGTACAAAGGAACACAACAC